AGGGGGTCATGGGGAGAGGCGAGGCTGGGGCAACGGCACGTGTGCCCACAGAGAGGGCTCCGAGTGCCGCCTCTGGCACGCGTGCCATAGGTTCGCCACCACTGGGCTAGAGAGTTGTCAGGCGCTTAGGTACACCCTTCATATTTTATCCAAGAGAGTGAGCTGTCTGCAATACCTGGTGTGTCCTTATAGAAAGCCAGTTTTTAACTACCATTGCAGGCACCTTATTTCTGTGGATGTACTGGCCCAGCTTTAACTCTGCCGTTTCCAATCACGGGGACGCACAGCACCGGGCGGCCATCAACACCTACTGTTCACTTGCTGCGTGTGTCCTGACTTCGGTGGCTTTTTCCAGTCTCTTGCAAAAGAAGGGAAAGTTGGACATGGTGAGTAAAGTCAGACAAGATGTTATGGTTTTCGCTTGTCTTTGACGAAGTTTCATGGAATCCCTTACTACAAATGTTTGTGTGGCGGAGGGGGGGCTGCTTGTGTATCTACTTGCCTAGCTGCTTGCCTGCCAATCAATGAATCAATCATTAAAAATGGTGTCAAGGCTTTCTGTTATCTTGTACAAAGTTTCTTTTTTTTCTTTTTCTTTTAATGAATATTGTGTTGGTTTTTAACTATGACAATCTCCAGCGCCTGGTGTACAGCGTGTTGTCTTGGTTTATATTTTAACAAGAAAAAAAGGGCAATAGTAATGAATTACGGTAATCAATAATGATTAAATTTGATAATGCCATAATTATAATATTAATTAATGATATATTTCTTTGATCTTCCCTTCTCCCATTTGTATTCTCCTCCTTCAACCTTAGCCAAAATATAATTCTTAATATTTTCAATATATAAATGATTAGATATAGGCATTGTTTATATTTATACAAATAATAACAATCTCTCTATATAACATTTTTGCCTTGAACAAAGTTTCATGGAACCCCCACCACAAGGGTGTGTGTATCTTTTCTTTCTTTCTTCCTTCCTTCCTTCCTTCCTTCCTTCCTTCCTTCCTTCCTTCTTTTCTTCCTTCCTTCCTTCCTTCCTTCCTTTTTTCTTTCTTTCTTTTTTCTTTCTTTCTTTTTTCTTTCTTTCTTTCTTTCTTTCTTTCTTTCTTCCTTCCTTCCTTCCTTCCTTCCTTCCTTCCTTCCTTCCTTTCTTTCTTTCTTTCCCTTCCTTCCTTCCTTCCTTCTCTTTCTCTCTTTCTCTCTCTCTCTCTCTCTTTCTCTCTTTCTTTCTTTCTCCCCCCCTCCCTCCCTCCCTCCCTCCTTCCTTCTCCTTCCTTCTCCTTCCCCCTTCCTCCTTCCTCCTCCACAGTAGGTCAGAAAACCCATTGTGCTAATCATAGTAAGATTGCAGTTTAAAAGCCTGCTGCACTATATCGAAGAATGTCTGTTAGATGCGAACCTAACCCTTGAGCAAAAATGAATAAATAAAGCAGAAAAGCAGGAATTAAAAGAGCTGTGTCTCCCACAGGTCCATATTCAAAATGCCACCCTGGCGGGAGGTGTGGCTGTAGGAACTGCTGCTGAAATGATGCTGACCCCATACGGTGCCCTCATTGTGGGCTTCATCTGTGGCATCGTGACGACCACTGGATACGTCTACATCACAGTAAGAGCCTTTCTGAATGCAACAAAAGCTTTCCCCAGCCTTGATGGCACGACCAAACAGTGAAAAAGTGGAGATGTTACTTCTTTACGTTGCAATATGTTGTAGCCGTTTCCTCTTTGTAATGCTCATGTTTTGTCCTTCCTTCCTCTCTTCTAGCCTTTCCTGGATGCTAAGCTCCATATCCAAGACACCTGCGGCGTCCACAACCTTCACGGAATGCCAGGTTTAATTGGAGGCATTGTGGGGGCCGTCACTGCTGCTGCGGCTACAGAAGGAGTCTACGGAAAGAAAGGGTGAGGTGCTTTGGGACGTCTGTGTAGGGCGTCACACTTTTTGATTTGGTTCCCCTTTCTTTGGAGAGGAAGAAAGAACTGCGGAAGACAGAATCATGGGTTGCCTGGCTGATAGGTTGACTGAGCCTCAGGAGCTTTTGCTTTGATCTGCAGATGCATTTGCACTCATTTATAAGAACTTTGCAAGTCGTTGAACTTTGAAATTACAGGTAGGGCTGGATTGCAAGCAGCCCAGGTTCGAATCTCAGAAGGGTATGGCTGGCTGATGAGAGCTAAGTAGCTCAAAATAGCTATACCAGTCTCCCTTTAACTCTTTGTTAGCAATCCAAATTTAACACGGTTAACTCAGTCTTCCATCCTTCCGAAGTTGATAAAATGAGGATCCAGATTGTTGGGGGCAAGATGCTGACTCTGTAAACTGCTTGGAGAGGGCTGTAAAGCACTGTGAAGCGGTATATAAGTCTAAGTGCTATTGCTATTGCTATTGAGGGAAAGCAAGACAAATGGCGATGAACCAAAAAATAACTTGGGACTACAACTGTCCTTCCCTTTTCCACTTCACTTCATTCTCACAGGCTCACCAACATGTTTGACTTCACCGGAGAATACCAGGATCGAACGCCTAGCATTCAAGGTGGATTCCAAGCGGCTGGCATTGCAGTATCACTAGCTATGGCTCTGGTGGGAGGAGCTATTGTAGGTAAGTGGAAGATCATTAAAGAGAGATCTAAGGTGAAATGTCCTGACAGTGAGAACAATTAACCAGTGGACGGGCTTTTCTTCTGGAAGTTGTGGTGTTCCAACACTGGAAATTTTTCAAGAAGAGATTGGACAACCATTAGTCTGAAATGGTATAGGGTCTCCTGCTTGAGCAAGAGATTGGATTAAAAGACCTCCGAGGTCCCTTCCAGCTCTTATTCTGTATTCTGATGTCACCCTTTTTGTATTTTCTCTGCTGCTTGAAGGTAAAAATCGACCAGAGTCTTTCTCTGGCTCATGTAATTCAAGGGAAAGCCAAGATTTAAATTAGATGGAAACTGATCAAGGAGAGAAGCAATCTAGAACTAAGGAGAATTTTCCTGACAGTGAGAACAATTAATCAGTGGAATGGCTAGCTTCCAGAAATTGTGGGTAGTCCATCACTGGAAATCTTCAAGAAAAGATTGGACAGTCATTTATCCAGAATGGTGTAGGGTCTACCTGCTTGAGTAGGGGTTGGGCTAGGAGACCTTCAAGGTCCCTTCCAACCCTATTATTCTATGTTCTAAGTGAAAAATCCTCATGCAGATGCAGAACAGCTGTTTTTTCTTAACTGTGCCAGCAAGCAGTGAAATCTCTGCCTATTCATCTCTAATTTTCTATGATCCAATCCAGTGGCTATGGACCTCTCCTCTCTGATGAGAACAGAAAAGTAAAATCATATTCCATCTGAGCTCAATTTTTGTTGACTGACATGGAAAATTCCTGCCTCTTTCTTGGGATTATAGGAAGTATTTCTTCCATGTTCTCAGGTTGTGCAGCTCTTACAAGGTTTGGATGTCAAACTTTAAGAGGCGTATTTTTTTTTCCAGTTCTCACGAACTGCTGTGTATTTCTTGGCGGATGTTTTTCCCCAACATATTTTTTTTTCTTTTGCAATTTGTGCCCTAGTACAGAGTGCTTTCTCAGTTGAAAAGAGAAGAAATTTTAAAAATTAAAACGCGCCGTAAGTGAATTGAGCGTTCCATTTTTCTTTCCCAAAGGTGGCATTTTGAAACTGCCCTTCTTTGGCGACCCTACAGATGAAAACTGCTTTGAAGATAATGTCTACTGGGAAGTAAGTGGATTACCCCAGGATTAACTAAATTAATCCAGATTGTGGGAGAAACTCCCTCTGTGGAGTCTGCACCGACGATTTATTCCATGGTCCTGGAAGTAGGTCTGACTGAAAGCAAAGGAATATGTATTTCACTAAGCATGAATCAATTCTGAGGTGGAAGCTGCTTTCGGGTGTTTTAACACGGGTCTTCTCTGATGGAGAAGGTGAACATGACATTTTCAGGATTGTTATACCCCAAACACATACCTCAGTGTGGTATGCACAGTTTGCCTTCCTCCTAGTTTCCACAGCACCAACCCTGTGAGGTAGGTTGGGTTGAGAGATCACAACCGGCCCCAGATCCCCAGGTTGGTCCATGGGTGGATTGGAACCTGAGTTTCCCCATCCCCAGTCCAACGGCTTCATCTTTGCGTCACACTGGCTCTCTTTCAGAACAGGAAGAAAGGTAAAATCCAGTCCAAATTTCTAATAAATAAATAAATTTGAAAGCATTTGTGACCCTTAATTCAGGTTGAGGACTATTTTTGATATGGTAACTTGAAAACCCGGTTTATCCTCACCACCCCTCAGGAACATACCATAAGAATACTGGCTCTCTTGCATTAGTGCCAGCGTATTGGAATTTCATTCCTCTCTCTTGTTTATTGATGGCCTCTGTCTTGAGATCGGTATGGCCAAACCTGGCCCTCTAATTGTGCATTTTATTATTTTTTGGGAGTAGAACTCATATCCAAGTGTTTCAAAGTGCTTCAATGTTATTATTCTGAATGTAAAACAATACAGTATATATTACATACTGTATATCAGATAGATATACAGGGAATTATCTATCTATCTATCTATCTATCTATCTATCTATCTGTCTGTCTGTCTGTCTGTCTGTCTGTCTGTCTGTCTGTCTGTCTGTCTTTCTGTCTATCAGTATCAGTATCAGTATCAGTATCAGTATCAGTATCTATCTATCTATCTATCTATCTATCTATCTATCTATCTATCTATCTATCTATCTATCAGTATCTGTATCTATCTATCTATCTATCTATCTATCTATCTATCTATCTATCTATCTATCTATCTATCTATCTATCTATCGTATCTGTCTGTCTGTCTGTCTGTCTGTATCATTATCTATCTGTCTGTCTGTCTCTATCTAACTATCAGTATCATTATCTATGTATCTATCTATCTATCTATCTATCTATCATTATCATTATCATTATCATTATCATTATCATTATCATTATCATTATCATTATCATTATCTATCTATCTACCGGTATCTATCTATCAATCATTATCATTATCTATCTATCTATCTATCTATCTATCTATCTATCTATCTATCTATCTATCTATCTATCTATCTATCTATCTATCTATCTATCTATCTATCTACAGTATCTGTCTGTCTGTCTGTCTATCTAACTATCAGTATCATTATCTATCTCTATCTATCTATCTATCTATCTATCTATCTATCTATCTATCTATCTATCTATCTATCTATCTATCTATCTACCTACCTACCTGCCTACCTACCTATCATTATCTATCTATCTATCTATCTATCTATCTATCTATCTATCTATCTATCTATCTATCTATCTATCTATCTATCTATCTATCTATCTATCTATCTATCTATCTATCTATCTATCTATCTATCTATCTGATATACTGCATGAGGATATTCTGCCACTAGGTGACACTGCTGCCTGCCATATATCAAGCTGGTGCC